TGTGTGTGTGTGTGTGTGTTGATGCTGGGAATTGAACCCAGGGCATTGTGCATGTAAGGCAAGCACTCTACAAATTGAGGTATAGCCCCAGCCCTAAAGCAGGATTTTAAGGTATTTAAAAACAAAATAAATTGCTTTTCCAAATTTAAAAAAAAAATCTTTTTTGTAGAGTCTGTGAAACTCATGAAGGACTTTGTAATTATTTTATAATCAACCCATGAAACAGGTAGCTATTTTATCTACTATATTACATATGAGAAAAATGAAAATTACAACCAAGACAATTCACTTCCACTGCTAAGGCAAAGTAAAACTCCCATGCTTGTTTTATAACTTGTGAACTCTACATTGGAAAGAATTTCAATTCAAAGATATTTCACAAGTATTAGTTAATTATTATGTACCAACAACCTCTTAGAATCTTAATCCTTATGAAATTAAACAGTTGCCAGATCAATAATTTCCCTATGAACAAATAAAAATGAGAGTTCAAAGAAGTTTGTCTTTTGTAATCTTTGAAACTTTGGAATGACAAAATTCAAAAACATCCAAGAAAGTGCAGTTACTAGATGATCAACACCATATACTGCCCCAGCACATATCTGGTTCTGGAAAAAGAGCAGATTTTAAAACAATCACATATCTATATGTATCTATCAATATAAATACATATACCCATAAAGTTATGTATGATTATTATATTAGAGTTATGGTATAATAAATAGCATATCTATATTACATATATTCTTTACACACACACAAGTCACTGTCTTAAAATCAGTCCCTTTGTCTAAGGAGCTTGCATCCTGGCTCTGCCTAAGTGACATTTCTACACGTATGCGTCTACAGTACCTTGTGGGGGTTTAAAAGAATATTTAATTATAAAAAAGTATACTCATGGGGCTGGAGTCATAAATTAGCAGTAGAGCACTTGCCTTGCATGTGTGTGGCACTGGGTTCGATTCTCAGCACCACATATAAGTAAGTAAATAAAATAAAGGTCCATCAACAACTAAAAAATATTTTTTTATAAAAAGTATACTTGTGATTTAATTTTTAAGTAAAAGAGAAAATAGAAAATACTATGTAAAATATATTCTCCTTCCTAAAGATTATATATATAAGTGCACAAAAAACATACTGGAAGATTACACATTAAGATTACACATTAAGTGTGAACTAGT